TCACTCTGCGCCCCCCCCCTCCCCAGTGATCTGTTATCGGGGCCCCTCGATTACCGCCCAAGAGGGTCAGAGGCACCTATAGATGGGGCCCCTGGGACTCCAATGAATTTCAAGAGCGCCTCAATGCCATTTTCAGTATATCACGCGCCGTGTGAGGACTTGACACATTGGAGCCATCTTCAAGCTATCACAAGCCGTCTTAGGACTTGAGCCGTCTTGGGAGCCCATGCGCACCTCGGAGCCGCCTTCCAGACGTCGCAACTCATCTTAGGACTTGAGGGGCCGAAGCCGTTCGACATGATTTCTTCTGGTCCCCATAGGAACCCAAATCAAGTCGCCCAGCATGAGTTTGGGCTCCATTTATCAACGCGTCTCGTCGCCACAGCTGGAATTGCTTCAGAGCGCATGTGTCAAGGGCGCGCCCTGTCTGAAATTTGTTTCGCCTGCGCACTTCGGAAGAGCAGCTGCAAAGACGGAGTCAAATTCAGTAATGCCACCAGCCCGCGATGGCATATCACACTGTACATGGTCTGGCGTTGCTCACATGCCTTGGCATGGACATTCCGGGTCTCTACTGGACACGTCGTGAAAATGCAGCCGGCAATTTTGTCTCCTCCAAGGTTAGCCTTGTCCCTCTCCTTCTCCTCATCATCCTTCATATCCCGACGTCTCTTCCATCTTGCCCCTCGTTCCCCATTCTCCCATTCCCAATCCTCCCTCCCATCATCTCCTCCTACCTCCTACTCCCCCTAGCTGCCGCGTGGCACATCTGGCTCAAAGAAGACCTCAGCCCTCCACTTCAGAAGACGACGAAGACGTGTCCGGAGAGGGCGACGGCTTCCACATCAACGCAGGGCGCCGGCGACCCGTGATGAATGCACTCTCGCCCCGCTCTCCTGGATTCGGGTGACGACCGCGCCGGAGGTTCGCAAGGCACCTGGAATAGTACGCAGTCGGCGGATTCACATTGCACTCGCCCTCGAGCTTGGGCTGCCTGGCGACTTGAGCCCACGCACCACACCGAGCACAGAACACGCAAGAGCGGAACCCAGCGAGCTTGTGCGAGGGGTGGGCAAGCCGGACGTAGGCGTGGAAATCACCGCGTGGCACAATCCACATTGGAGCCCAACGATCACCCGGTTCTTCAACTGGCCACTCGTACTTCTGGAGCTTATCAGGGGTAAGGGGATCTTTGAGCATGCGGTGCGGCTGGGGAGACCGGCTGCGCGCTGCCATCGCGCGCTCGGAACGCTCTTCTTTGCTGGGACGCGCCAAAAAGAACAAGCAACAGCTAGAGCCGTAAGCGCTGCCGGCAGGTGGAGTTGAAAGGATGGCCAGGGGGGCGCACGGGGCGACTGCAAATCACGCGGTGTTCAAACCGCGCCAGAATACGATGAGGAAACCGAGAGCGAATATTCCCTACCTCGGCTCTGCCTAGAAGGGTTCTTACCGTCTTAGCTTCAAGGGGGCCGGGCAGTGCAACTCGCCCCGGGCGGTTCCCCCGGCATCTGCTCCGCGGTTCCCCCAACTACGTTAGCATAGCGTTGCGTATACCATCTTAGCTTAGCTTATTAGATCTTAGTTTAGCTTAGCTTCATAATTGCTCAGGTTTTTCTTAGCTTAGCTTTCCTCCATCTTAGCTTCGCTGAGCTGTAGCATAGCATTGCAGGGCACAGCATAGCAAAGCGTATCACACCACAGCGCAGCACAGCATATCATAACGTAGCCCAGCGTAGCATAGCATAGCATAGCGCAGCATAGCATAACATAGCATAGCATGGCATAACATAGCATAGCGCAGCACAGCACATCATAGCACAGCGCAGCATAGCATAGCAGGGTGTAATTCCCTACCTAGGCTCTGCCTATAGGGCTAGCTTAGCTTAGCGTAGCGCAGCGCTGCATTAGCATAGCATGGCGTAGCATAATATAGCCAAACGTAGCATATCATAGCACAACATAGCATAGCAATGTATAACATAGCATATCATACCATATCATAGCATAGCTTAGCACAGCATGGCATATCATAGCTTAGCATACCATATCATATCATAGCGTAGCATAGCACAGCATATCATATCATAATATAGCATAGCATAGCGCAGCATAATATGGAATACCATATCATGTCATAGCAAAACAACTGCTTTCCTATGGGCTCCAACTTCTAGGAAGGGTCGCACTGTGGTAATTGCTGTTCCTCTTGGCACTGGCTCGCCGAAGTGCGGCCTCGCCTTCAGCCTGCTTTGTGCACAACGTTAGCGAATCGATTGGGTCCTCCTTCTTCTCCTCCTGCTCCTGCTCCTGCTCCTACTCCTCCTCCTCCTCCTCCCCCTCCTTCTCCTCCTTTAGTTCCCCTCCTCGTCATCCTTCTCTTCCTGCTCCTCCTATGGAGGATGTGGGGTCCAAGGACGTGGAGTCTGAGGACGTGCGCCTGCTGCTTTTGTCGAGATCGCCACGCGCCCGATCTGTGCTGAGCCGCCTTGCCTGGAAAAGAGCGCACATGCACTCGCCAGGCCTTCAGGCGCTGCCAACAAAGAGGGGCGGGGTCTCGCTCAGGACTTATGGCCGACCCACCCCCCGCGGCGAGACACGCAGCACGCACATACATACACACACGTGGACGCACGTACATACATACAAACATACATACCTAAATGATTGCGCGCACATAAACATACATGCATACATACACATACATACACGGTAGGCAAGGATGGATATCAACTTGATGGGGCTTGAAGAAAGGCGTTTCTGTTGGTGTTGCTGCTGCTGCTGCGTTTCCCTCTTCCTTCTGTTGTTGTTGTTGCTGCTGCTGCTGCTGTCCCCCTCCTGCCCCTCTCCGAGGAGGAGTGGGAGGAGTGGGAGGTGGGGGGGGGAGGAGTGGGAGGTGGGCCCCGGGGGGGAGGAGCGGGAGGTGGGGGGGGAGGAGGAGAAGGAGGAGGATGAGGAGAAGGAGGAGGAGAAGGCAAAGGAGGAGAACGCGCCCACATCTGGGGCGCGTTAGTCCCCCAAGCCCTTGCAACCAACTGCTGGCTCCCACTTGCACTTGCGGCTCCCCCTGAGGGCCGCCAAGGAAAGGGGCACTGGGCGGGCGCTGGAGCCGCGGGGGGGCGCTGAGACGGGCGGGGAGGGGGCGGAGCGGGGGAGGGGGTGCGGTGCCGAAATAAGTGGTCGGGGCGGGGGGGACTGGGCGGGCGCTTCGAGCCGCGGGGGAGCGCTCTGACGGTGCGGGGGAGGCGGCGGAGCGGGGGGGGGGCGGTGCCGAAAAAAGTGGTCGGGGCGGGGGGGCACTGGGCGCTGGAACGGCGGGGGCGCTGAGACGGAGGAGGCGGAGCGGGGAGGGGGGGGGTGCGGTGCCGAAATAAAATGGTCGGGGCGGAGGGGGCACTGGGCGGGCGCTGGAGCCGCGGGGGGGGCGCTGAGACGGCGCGGGGGAGGGGGCGGAGCGGGGGGGGGGTGCGGTGCCGAAATAAAGTGGTCGGGGCGGAGGGGGCGCTGGGCGGGCGCTGGAGCCGCGGGGGGGCGCTGAGACGGCGCGGGGGAGGGGGCGGAGCGGGGGGGGGGGTGCGGTGCCGAAATAAAGTGGTCGGGGCGGAGGGGGCACTGGGCGGGCGCTGGAGCCGCGGGGGGGCGCTGAGACGGCGCGGGGGAGGGGGGCGGAGCGGGGAGGGGGGGTGCGGTGCCGAAATAAAGTGGTCGGTCGGAGGCGGGGGCGCTGAGAACGGCGCGGGGGACGGGGGGGGGGGGGGCGGGGTCGCGGAGGGGGCGCTGGGCGGGCGCTGGAGCCGCGGGGGGGCGCTGAGACGGCGCGGGGGAGGGGCGGAGCGGGGGGGGGTGCGGTGCCGAAAAAGTGGTCGGGGCGGAGGGGGCACTGGGCGGGCGCTGGAGCCGCGCGGGGGCGCTGAGACGGCGCGGGGGAGGGGGCGGAGCGGGGAGGGGGTGCGGTGCCGAAATAAAGTGGTCGGGGGCGGAGGAGGGCACTGGGCGGGCGCTGGAGCCGCGGGGGGGCGCTGAGACGGCGCGGGGGAGGGGGCGGAGCGGGGGGGGGGTGCGGTGCCGAAATAAAGTGGTCGAGGCGGAGGGGGCACTGGGCGGGCGCTGGGCGGGCGCTGGAGCCGCGGGGGGGCGCTGAGACGGCGCGGGGGAGGGGGCGGAGCGGGGGGGGGTGCGGTGCCGAAATAAAGTGGTCGGGGCGGAGGGGGGACTGGACGGGCGCTGGAGCCGCGGGAGGGCGCTGAGACGGAGGGGGCGCATGATGATGATGTGGATGATGATGATGATGGTGATTATGATGGTGATGATGGTGAGGATGATGGTGGTGTGATGATGATGATGATGATGATGATGATGATGATGATGATGATGATGATGATGATGATGATGATGATGACGATGATGATGATGATGATGATGATGAAGGGGGGGGTGCGGTGCCGAAATAAAGTGGTCGGAGCTCTAGACACCCTGTGCAAGAGAATTAAATAATTATTTGGGGGGGGGCTCGCCGAGCGATATTATTAGCACCGCGCAAATGGAAGGAAAATAAATAATTCCAGCGCCCCGCCTCGGGTGGCATCCCAATTAGAATTGTAATGAGAATAAGAATACCCCCTGCGATCTGGTGTACCCCCTCCTGGTGCCAGGATAACGCTTCCGGGTGCCGGGTGCGTTATCCTTTCACCGGAGAGGGGGGGGGGGTCCTTAATCGCTTACTCGGGTTAGATACTCGGTCTGGAAACCTTCCTGGAGTCACCCGCTCCACTCATGCGCCGATGCTGCGTCGAACGTCCGTCTACTTGAATCGAACCTGAGTCGACGTTGACTCGAACTTGAGTCAGTCTAACAAACCGATCCGTTTGGTGGGCCCTAGGAAAGTCCCCCCAGACGAACATCTAAACTGAGGGCGAAACATCCCCTAAATGGCCGATATCGAAGGACAACCAGGCCGCGACCGTGCTGGTTGGCATCTGGTTCGGCGCAGCTGAGCCCGGAACGCAGGCTCTACGTCGTCAGCATCGTAGCCGTGTTGGTTCCACTGTCGGGAGCGGTCGTGCTTTGCCACGCTTGCGCGATGCAGGAGATAGAGAGAGAGAGATAAAGAAAAACAAAAAGAGGGAGAGAGGGAGAGAGCGGTAACAAAAACCAAAAAATAGCAACAAACGGAGGCAGAGAGAGGAGGAGAGAGCGAGAGAGAGATAAGCTCAATACAGCACAATCAGGTACGCTCAAAGCAAGCACCCACTCGCACCCATATCACCCCTCCTTTTCCTCTTCCTCCTCCTCCTCCTCCTCCTCCTCGTCCTCCTCCTCCTCCTCCTCCTCCTTCTCCTCGTCCTCCTCCTCCTCCTCCTCCTCCTCCTCCTCCTCCTCCTCCTCCTCCTCCTCCTCCTCCTCCTCCTCCTACTCCGCCTCCTCCTCCTTCTCTTCTTCCTCCTCCTCCTCCTCCTCCTCCTCCTCCTCCTCCTTCTCCTCCTCCTCCTCCTCCTCCTCCTCTTTCTCCTCCTCCCCCCCATTATCCTGCCCCGTCTGCTCTGCTAGGAAGGGCGGGATGACTGCAAAGCTGGGCGGAGAAGGCGGCCAGCGGAGCAGGCGGCAAGGACGGCAGCGACGGCGCCGCGGCGGCGGGGAATCCACGGGGAGACCGACGCCGAGAGCGGTCAGCGAGGCGTCACGGCAGAGCCCGCGAGAAGGAGAAGCCCCCAGGGGCCGGCGGGCAGGAGCTGCGGCGGCCGGAAGAGCTGCCGGGGGGGCTGACGGGGAGGCGGCGGGCGGGGGGGAGAAACGAGGAGGAGGAGGAGGAGGAGGAGGAGGAGGAGGAGGAGGAGAGGGAGGAATGAGGGAGAGTGAGGGCCACTGGAGCGCGACCGATCCGAACACGCCGCAGGAAAAGAGTTTGGAGTGCGCGCCGGAGACCTCGGCGAGCTCCGCCTGCCTGCACACCAGCCGCGCTTCCGTGAGCGGCGCTCGCGTGGTGCGCGGGCGAGGGGGGGGGGGGGCGAGGAGTCTTGGGGAACCTCGGGGAGCGGCGAGGCGGGCAGAAGAGCTGGGGGAGCTGGCGGGGAAGAGGCGGGCAGGGTAAGGGGGGGGAGGGCGCGAGGGGTCGTCGGGGCAAGGCCCTCCCCCTTCTCGCTCTGAGGTCCTGTGTCTGTTGCTTGCCCTTGCATTGTTGTTTCTCCCAGTCCTCCTTCTCTTCGTCCAACCCCCTCCTCCTGCGAGGGGGGAGGGGCGAGGGGCAGGGGCTGTCGCGGAAGGGCCACGTCCTGTCGCAGCTCTTTCAGCCTCTGCTGGTACTTCTCTGGGCGGTGCCCCCTGGCGGTCACCAGCTGTGGAGGAGGGCTCTCGTGAGCTCGACTTCACGGCTGTCCCGACGTCGAATCAAGACGACGCCGACGCCGACGCCGACGCCGACGCCGACGACGACGACGACGAGGAGGACGAGGAGGACAGAGACGACAACGAGGAGGAAGAGGACAAGAACGATGCGATGCGATGCGATGCGACCACCGTTGCGGACAGCGTCCGGGCCTAGGGCAGACCAGGTGGGTGAGGCCATGGCCTCTAGGATCTGAGGTGTCTGGATTCATGCAATGCGAGACATGTAAAAAGACAAGGACGACAAAGACGAGGACAAAGACGAGGACAAAGACGAGGACGACAAAGACGAGGACGACGAAGAGGATGACGACGAGGACGACGACGACGACGACGACGACGACGACAAAGACGACAAAGACGACGACGACGACGAGGACGAGGGCGAGGGCGAGGGCGAAGATAACGACGGTGAGACGAGGATGAGATCCAGAACGTGACGCCGTGCGCCCGCGCGCACAAGGCGAGGCAGCGTGCACTACACCAGGAATATGGAAGCAAACACGGCTGGACGCGCTTGTGGGACACTAGGGGGGGCCACCTGCCGCATGCGCACGCGGAGGACCAGACTGCCTGGCCAAGAGAGGGCCGAGCGCTGGAACAACATGCGGCCACCCCTTCTAGTATTACTATCATCATGTTTAACAATAGTGATGCGAGTAGTCCGATTATACTTCGTAATACTCGTAAGCTTCGTATAACGAGTATATCTTGTGTTAACAAGTTTTCCTACAACTGGTATTACGATGAATACTGTGGGTAGTAGTACAACTACTGTTGATATTGTTGACATGATATAAGTCTTATTCCTCTGACGGTTGCTCCTCCTCCTCCTCCTCCTCCTGTACCTGTACCTTCTTCGTATTTGCCTTCGCACCTCCCAGGCATGTACACAAGCAGTTCATCTGCGCTGTGCGCCACTGGCCGCTAGTACCCAGCAGCGTGTCTGTATGCGTGTGTGGACAAGCAGACTGCACCAGCCTCCCCTATCATTATCCCTGCGCTCGCTATCCCAGTCCCTGGTCCTGGGTCTCGCGCACGTCATGCAGCTCTCCATGGACTCTGTGTTGCGCGACTGGCAGGTCAGCGGTACGGTAGGGGAGTGGAACATGAGGGGGGGCGGAAAGTTAAGGGGTTGGGAGGAAGCCCAGGGGGGGGAGGGGGGAGAGGGGGGAGAGGGGAGAGACAAGCGAGGTGCGCTCGCGTCATATCTGATGTCCGACCCCTCCCTCCCATCCCTTACCCTGGCGTAGATATCCTCTCTACTCGCACAGTCGGATGTCGAGCAGGACAATGATCCCGAGAGGGTGCGCGATGCATCGTAGAGAACGGCGTAGCAAGGCGTAGAAGAGCACGGCAGAGCATAGTCTGTCATGGCATGTCGTGGCGTTGCGTAGTGAAGAATTGCATCACAAAACATTGCAACGCCAAGAATGGCATCGCACAGTGGCGCGCAACAGAAAATGGCATAGCATGGCATTGAAGATCAAAGCGTAGCATGGCACAGCATGGCGTGGCACTGCGTAGTCAAGCACTGCGTACTCTAGCTTTGCAGCTGAAGCCATGGCATCGCACAGCGGAACACCACAAAGCATTGCATTGCATGCCGTGGCATGGCACTGGAACCAATGACGCAAGCGCTGCAGTGGAAGCGCGGAAATGAGGCCTACGCTGCAGCGGGAGCACGATTCGGAACGAGCGGCAGCCCGAAAATGAGGCCAGCGCTTCAGCAGGAGCAACACTTTGAACAAACCTAGCGAAAGCCCAACTCCTGGGAATCCGGTGTAAAAAAAACAGTACGCGGAGGGGGGGGCGAATATCTTCTGGACGTCATCAGGGGAGAGAGGAGAGTAGTTTTTATATTGTGTAATTGTGAAGAGAGACCAGGAGGAGAGGCAAGGACCAGAAGAGCTGTGCATCCTGCTCCTCCTGCCCCTTCCCTCCTGAGCGAGTGCCATCACGCGTCCCCCCATCCGTCCCTCCTCCTCCTCCTCCTCACCTCCTCCCCCTCTATTCCTCTTCCTTCTAAATAACTCCTCCTTATCTCACCCCGAAGCTGGTCGAAAGAGCGGGCCGGGCGTTCCGCCTGAGACTTCCTTACTATTTATGGTCCTGGATTGAGGGCGGGTCGTCCTCGAAATGTGGCTCTCGCCTCAGCGCCGCGTGCAATCGTCTTGAAGATCTGCAAGAGCTTCACAGATTAAAGCGGGTCATTTTCAACATGTGGATCTCGCCTTAGCGCCACGCAGATTCGTTGTAAGCACAATTATAAGAGCATCGCGAATTGAGGGCGGACCGTTTTCAAAATGTGGCTCTCGCCTCAGCGCCGCGCACATTCGTCTCAGCAAATCGCATGGTTTCCACACGATTGAGGGCGGGTCGTTTTCAAAATGTGGCTCTCGCCTCAGCGCCGCGTGCATTCGTCTTAACTGAATTGCAAGAGCTTCACAGATTTACAGCGGGTCGGTTTCAAAATGTAACCCTCGCCCTAGCGCAACGCACTTTTTTGGTCTGCGGGTCGGGAGCGGGCCCCTTCCGGTCAAGAGATCAACGGGACGCGGGTAGCCCTAATTGGGGAGACAGGGCGCGGGCGGGCGGGGCCTCAGGCGGCCGGAGGGCTCAGAAAACAGGCGGTGCCGAAGATCTTGCACAGGACAAGGTACGCCATGGACTGGAGCAGGGGGCGCGGTCCCACACGAGGCACGCTGGGATAGGACTCCTGGCGAGAGAAGCCATAGGCTGGCACCGGCAACTGCGGTTTTCGAAAAGCCAAAGCCCACCAGAGCCTCGACGCCCACCCCGTCGGTTCGGAAGAGCAGGCCGCCGCTCGAGGCAACCACGGGCCCAACCGATGTGCTGGGATCGCCTGGTGAGCTTTAGACAGACCATCGGGCGCGGAAGTTGACAGCCTGGCCACGGACACCCGCCTGCTTAGAAAGTACCTCTTGTTGATTGCCTCCACTTGGGACCAGTACTTCCAAGAGGGCCTTCAGCAAGCCCGCCCAATCCCTTTCCCCCCTGTCGGCACGGCTTCTATCCTGTAGGTTTGGAGGCCGCCTGGGGATTTAGTTCCACCCCCGCCGCCGCCTGCCGAGGCTACCTGCCCTGTCAGAGAACGAAGGGGGCACAGGTGGGAAGAGGCGGGGACTCGATTTCTGCGCAGCGGCTGCTGCGAGAGAGCGGCGAGTGAGTAAGAGTCTACCCAGTGTCTCGGGCATGCGCCCAAACTAGCTTCGCTATGTTCACGCCCGAAAGGCCACCAGATTATTTTGTGCGTGGCGCACAGAAGTGGCTTGGTCGTTCCATGCTGCTCCAGATGCGGCAAGTTCGCAGAATCGAATCCCCGTTGCCTCGCCAGGGAATTCACTCGACATTTCGCGCGGCCAAGCGATCGAACCCAGTGGTCACTCCACCAAAGCCTGAGGCACCCCAGAAGTCTTTTCGGGCGCCCATCCTTTTCGAGGCGCCCACCCCGCTGCACCTGTACCTCCAGCGCCAGGCCCAAGAGCTGACGAAGCAGGCGGCCCACCCCCCATACGAGGGAGAGGTCGCAGCGGAGGTAGCAGCAGAGGCAGAGCAGTCAGAGGACAGCTGACCCACCCCTTCAACCGCGCGATGGTCCTCCTCATGTTCCTCCTCCTCCTCCTCCTCCTCCTCCTCCTCCTCCTCCTCCTCCTCCTCATCATCATCATCATCATCATCATCATCATCATCATCATCATCATCATCATCATCATCATCATCATCATCATCATCATCATCATCATCATCATCATCATCATCATCATCATCATCATCATCATCATCATCATCATCATCATCATCATCATCATCATCATCATCATCATCATCATCATCATCATCATCATCATCATCATCATCATCATCATCATCATCATCATCATCATCATCATCATCATCATCATCATCATCATCATCATCATCATCATCATCATCATCATCATCATCATCATCATCATCATCATCATCATCATCATCATCATCATCATCATCATCATCATCATCATCATCATCATCATCATCATCATCATCATCATCATCATCATCATCATCATCATCATCATCATCATCCGCGGCAGGGCCCGGCGGGGGCAGAGTACCGGACAGCAGCAGCATCCGCGTGCTGTCAGCGGGAAATAAAAGAGCACCCTCACGGCAACGTCACGTCTCATCGGGTGTGGGCAGCAGCCCGCGCTCCTGGTTGGTAGATTGGTGACAGCGCAGGGCCATCGCCATCGGATCGCCGCCCCTACTAGGAAGCTGTAAGCGCACGCAACTCAATTCACATGTGAATCATCTGGAGGCCACTTGCTCAGTACCTATGCGGAGGACCACCATGCCTGGCCATCATCACCTGGCCACGTGTGTATCCAGCTCTCGCCCAGGCTGGCCGCGTCACTTGTATCCAGCTCCGTGGTAATATGATCGTTCCCTCGCGCCTGTGCCGTTCCCGTACCTCCCTCCTCCCATGCACTCTGGGTTTCCTAAGCAGGCGTCCGCCCCTAGCAGAGAGCACTGCAGACAAACTTTGCCTGCATTGGCTTGCACACGTGTGCAGGTCGACGGGCAAGCAACGGAAACGCATATCGCTACCGATTGCTCACCACAGCTGTTACTACGATGTTACGGCACAATGTATAATCCTGCTGGCCTGCAGATGCTCCTCCCCCTCCTTCTCCTCCTTCTCCTCCTCTTCCTCCTCCTCCTCCTCCTCCTGCTCCTCCTCATCCTCCTCCTCCTCCCGATAATATCCCAGAGGCGAAACCTTGAGCGACCCCAGCACGCAAGCCTGCGAGCAAAGCTGGCATGTCCAACGCGACTCCACCGTAGGCGTCCGGCGATGCAGGGTGCGGGCATCCTGGGCAACGGGGGGGAGGAGCAAGTGCAGGAGAGCAGGACGAGGAGGAGGAGGAGGAAGAGGAGGAGGAGGAGGAGGAGGAGGAGGAGAGGAGGAGGGAGGAGGGAAAGGAGGAGGAGTATGGGTACCCTGAGAAAAGAAGAGGGCAGGCGGGCACGAGCACGAACGAGAAGAGGGCAAAGAGTTAGTCTCAGCCGCTGTGCTCTGGCCTAGCCCCTCTACTTGTATAGTAATGCGAGAGCAGCGCGGCGTAAGGCGACAAGCTGTGCTTGCGAGACGGCCGCCGCGCGCGCGTTGGCAGTGTATTTCATGTTTCTGTAGATATGGAATGCCAGAACGATCATTGAGATCGTTGACGGCAATGACATAGGGCTGCAAGGGTCAGCTGCATTTGCTGCGGCGGGGCCGAGCCCCCATGCCGACAGCATTGATTGGATGATGGGGGGGTCGGGAAGCCAGAGGAGCCTCGGAAGAGCGGGGCAGGAGAGGTAGTGCGGGAATGAGTCAGGTGCGTCCGTGCATCCAAACGCGCACTTGCGCTGCTGTAGAACATGCATTCTAGCCGTGGTCGCCCAACCACCGCTGAAGGTCTTGAATGTGGCCCAGCGCCAGCTCGAGCACAATTGCTTGAGAGCGTCGGTCAGTGCCTCCCAGCGCTTCTGTAGTTCTACAGGAGCCGCGGGCGCATGGAGGCCCCAGGCAAGGAGGCGTTCGGAAGGCGTGACCGCGAACGGAGACTTGAAAGACTGGTCGCGGGGATTGGCTGACTAGATGCGCTGGGACTTGGCGCGACGGGGCGGGTTCGCTGCTGCCGCATCTCTCTGCTCATCGTGGGCAGCGCGGGCGGCAGCAGCAATAGACTGGCCAGAGAAAGGCAACTGAGCTTCTTGGCGCATGAACGAGCCGTAGCAGTGAACAATGGCTGTCTGGGAGGACCAAAATGGTGGAGACCAAGCGCCTGCCTGCCAGCGGGGAGCGTTCTGAAGCGTTTTCCCCCCGCGACAGTTCGGCTAGGCGCGCCGCGAAGGCCCCCCAGGAGCCTGCAATCGTAACCGCCGCAGACCTTGCAGCAGAGGCGACAGCTAGAATGTGCGCGGACTGAATGGTAGGTGGCGGGCGCCAGCTCGGCATGGCGACCAGGTCAACCCCGCGGGAAGAATGCGGCGGCACGCGGAGCATGTCGTGGAATATATACTGTTCACGGCGAGCGATGGAGGAATCAAGGGGGAAGAACTGCAAAACGTAGCTCAGAGTTGACAGCGCTGCTGCATTGCGTAAGCGAACCGTTGCGTCGCTGCCGCTCTGCACGAGCTGAAGCAAATTGCCCCGCTGCCACAATTTCTGCCCGGGGGCGAGCCACTGGCAGGCCAGCGGGGCCTCGGGGCCGAGAAAAGTGCCCAGGTATGTGGCTCGCCCTGCAACCGAGGATCCACCCCGCGGAGGTCCGAGTTCGGCCAGGGGCGCTTTCGCCGCGGCAATAGCGGCCGGGGACGCGGCATACCAAAGAGGGACGATAAAGCACTTGCGAGGCTTCAGAGAGAGAAGCGCGACGGGGCGCTCACTTGGCGCGGCGCGTCGAACGAGCACGTCAGCAGACCAACGCCGCCAGCGCAGGCGCCCGCGTAGCCAGCGTCGAGAATCGGCGCGCCGTTCGAGTCTCCCACGAACGAAGCAGCGCGGCGGATGATCGGGCTCACGGCTATCGCCCACGCCGAGCCCGATGCCGGGCAGCCCTGTGCCACTCCAGAGCCCATCGCGAACGCGTCGCGGCGAACTTCGTCGATCTTGCTGGCGGGCGCAAAGCACATGGCCTGAAAGAGGTTGAGGATGCCCTGCGGGGGGCCGAAATGTTCGAGCGCGATGAAGAGCCAGCCCCGCCCCAAAGACGGGAAGGCAGCCGAAAAGTCAAAGCTGGCGAAGTCGGGCATGGATGCGAGAGCTTCAGGTAGCCATCCAGCACGGCGCATCTCAGCGCGGAAGCGGACGACGCGCTCGGTGCAGTTGCGGCCCTGGACAAAGCCCTGCCAGGCGCAAAGCGCGCGCGCCCTGCCACAGCGCCCATGAGCATGTAATGAGCGGCGCCAGCGATGGCCTTGATGTCCGTGTTATCCAGCGAGAGGGGGGCGCGCGTCCTCGGGCGCCCTGTCAGCGGCAAGCTCGCCCTGCGCATTGCCGCACCTCGGCGGGAGGCGGAGTCAGAGTCAGTCAGGTAACGGACGCAGTACTTGCTCGAGCAGAGGAAGAAGGACAAGTCCTCGAGCAGGTCGAGCGACGCGTCGCGCGCGAGCCAGGCAGAGCAAGGCGGGGAGCCAGGGCCCGGAGCCGATGGGGAGGTCCCGCGCAGGAAGGTTTTGATCTGCGGCTTGGCGAGCGCCCCGACGCGGGGGAGGAGGAGGGAGAGAAGGGGGGTGATAAATATACGTCGAGGCGCGCCGATCCATCCAGAGAGAAGCTGCCGCACTGACTTCACGGGGGGAAGGGCCTCGCCGCGATCGAGCACTGGACCGCGGGAAAAGAGGCCCGACCGAATATGAAGGGCGGCGCGTCAGTGCTCAACGGCCAGAAAGGCGGGAGCACGAACTCGCCGCGACACCTTGGCGCCGCGCCCGCGAAGTGCCCCCCCCCCCCCCCCCCAGCGCCTCCACCACGCACCACCGCGCCTCTGCTTGCGAGCGCACACCAGTGGGGGGGCACGAATTGCCCGCCCCACGGGGCACGAGATCAGAGCTGTTCTGCGACCTCGCCTGCTCGTGCCAGCACAGGCTCACCAGAGCGCGCGCGGTGCCCACCCTCTCCGGCAGGGAGCGTCTGCTGGCGCTGAGCCGGCGGCTGCAGCTCGGACGCGATTCGGAGCGGCTCGGAGGGCTGACGTCGCCGGGACTGGCCGCGGACTAAAGCGGAAGGGCGCGCTCCTGCGCCGGCAGCCCCGGGCCGGCGGCGGGGCGGCAGGGCCTCGCCGAGGAAGACGCCATCGCGCCAGACCTCGAGCAGCACGTAGCAGCCCCCGCAGATGAAGTCCCCCCCCGCGGCAATGTTGCAAGGGCTAGCGGGCTCGATCGGGCCCGCGGGAGGGTGCGAGGGGGGCCGCTGCTGCCTCGTCGACAGCAACACTGGCGCCTTGGGAATCGCCTGGTCGAAGTCCATGATCTCGTCGGTGGCCTCTTGGATCGCAGGGGCTGGCGAGACCAGCTGCGGCGCGGGCTTCGCCGCCAGGTTGCCCGGCTCGAAGGCGCCCTGCTGGGGCAGGCCAACAGGCCGCGCCCTGCTGGCCTCGAGCTGGACCAGAACGCGCGCGCGCGTGCAGGACTGGTTTCCCCCCTTCCACGGAGACGACCAGGAGCAGCTCATCGCGAAATCCGCCGGCCCCAAGGGGGTGCTATCCCATCCGCGCGAGACACGGAGAAGCGAGCACCACGCCCTTGGGATCGGGCACGCGCGCTGCCCTCCCCGAACGGCGCGCTCTGCCCCGACCGCCCCCCGAAGATGTCGCCCCCCCCGGCGCCGCCCGCGCCGCAGCCATGCACCGCCAGGCTCGCGCACGCCGCCCCTCGGCTGGACGAAGGCTGGACGCCCCAAAGGAGGAGGAGGAAGAGGGGGAGGAGGAGGGGGAAGAGGCGGAGGACGACGACGACGACGACGACGACGACGACGACGACGACGAGGCGGGGAGGAGGGGGGGGAGCTCCTCGGCCCACCCTACCGTCTCTGACGCGCTGCGCGCGCTCGCACAGGGCGGCCGCGCTCAGGAGCTCGGCCGGGACAGGGATCTCCGCTGGCGGGTCTGCCGAGACAGCACGACCGAGCCAGGGCGGCTCTCCTTCGCTGAGGGCACTGGAGCGCCTCCGGGGCGCGACTGTCGCGTCGGGCCAGTCGGCCCCCTGGCCTCTCAGACGCCCACGCAGCTGAAGCTGCCCCCCCCCTGCCCTTCGGGGCGCGGCGCTTCACCGCGACGCCGCCCTCCCAGAACCCCCGACGCCGCGATTTGCTCGCAGGGAGTCGGCCCCCAGGTCTCGACCCACTCCTCGGAACCAGCTTTTCATCCTGAGTCGTCTGTTGACGGCCCCGAGGCCCGGCGAGGCCCCCCAGAGGCAGAATATGCTGGAAAAAACACGCAGTCCTGATTTTTTCAAGACTCCAGGGGGTCTGGGCTTGCCGTTGCTATACCAGCCGCTCAGGCCTCAGCCCTTAAAGACGAGCACCTCTGGGAGGCGCCGCCTTCAGATGTGGGGCGGCCTGTCGCCCGCCTCGCCGAGGCGCTGGATCCAGCCCCCCACGCGACGGCTCCCACATCGAGGGGCCTGCCCGTTGTAGCGCGGCCCGCGGTGCCCGCAGCACGAAGACGACGACGACGACGACGACGACGACGACGACGACGACGACGACCACCACGACGACCACGACGACCCCCCCGCCCGCGGCCCCGCCCCCGCCCTGCTGCCGCGAAGGGCAAGAGCCAAAATGGCCACTGAAGGAGGAGTCTGGGCACCCGAGAAGAGACGCGAAGAGGGACATCGGACAAGAAGCGAGAAGAGGGCAAAGAGTTCGCCCCCATCGCCTCGCCCGCGCCCGCCGCGCGTCGATCAGAAGTCAGTAGGAGATGCGCTCCCCAACTGGCTGGACTCGTAGACGCGCTCCGAGTAGCAGCACTCGTTGATGATGGATAAGCTGTCCAATGAGCTGAGCTCCGCGACGAGTACGAAGGCAACGGTGCCGGCGACATCGCAGGCGCAGGTGCCACGGAGCCCACCCACTGCAGATGTTCAGCGCTGGACCCGAACATGCACGGCGATGGCTTGGATGCGAAGGCGTACTTCTCCAGCAGCTTCGAGAACTCGTCGACGCAGCTCTCGGACTGGATGCTTGCCATGAGATCGTCGAAATAGCCGTTCATGGGGCTGCGGCAAGCCCGGAGAGGTCTCGAATTTCCTGCCTGCGAGGCTCGCGCGGTGGACCTCCAGAGAGGCGATCCGCAGCTAAGTGTCATCGAGCTTGTCGCGGCA